ATTCTTCTTTCAAATTGATTTCAAAATCAATATGCAGTTGACAATAATAATTAACATGAATAGATGCAAGATTAACCCATACCAATTTTTTTGAATTCATCGATAATTTATTTTTGGGACTTATATAAATGAATTTCACCTCAAAAAGAGCATTGATAATGCAAAAGATATTTTATATAGTAATTATTATTCTTTTTCATCCGCTATTACATATCTAATCTTGCTATAATATATTTTTTTATATATTTATTTGAAAAAGTATCAAATTTGAATCTTGAGAGTTAGGATAGAAAATTTTGACATAGGAGGAGGTACCTCTTTTATGTACTGTATTGTCAAATGAATCTCCACATAATATATATTAAAGAATTCAAATATATAATGGTTTGAATAAATTTAATTTTTTTTTTTACAAAAGAAATTTGTAACTTTATGATTAAAAAAAATTACATTTATTAATTTTTAAATATTAAATCTATTATATATCACTTCTTACTTGAATTGTTTTTATATAAAAATGACCAAATGTTTCATCTCGGATCAAAACCTTAAAGATTATCATATTACATTTTGATGTTAAAGTCTAAAATTTCATGTTAAATTTTGATTTAAAATATTATTATTTTGATGTTATAATAATGCAATTTTAAAGTTTGTTGAAGATTAACACCTTTAATTTTTTGTTCTAACATGATCAGTATGATCGAAATCATCCAACAAAAACTAGAGGGATGTCATTGCCAATGCCTCAAAAATTTCAACAAAACTCAAAATGTTAATTTTTTTAAAGGCCAACTAGTAATAGTTAATTAATTAGAAAATAGTTAAATTCCTCAAAAATTTACCTTTGTTTTTTCATATTCCACTTTCCCCTACAATCCAAAAGGAAATTGGAGTTTAGATTGGATTCCTCTTTTATATAATAATTTCTCAAAAAAAAGAAAATTATGTGGTTAAGCTTTAATGGGAAAAAAAACAAGGGCTTAAGAAAAGTTGGCTAAAGACGAGTTGATTATGGTCACCTTTGGTGGGCTTCCACGTGCTTGAACAGGTTGCTTAGCTGGCTCACCGACCAAAGACAAACGTCTTTCTGTCAATTTTATTGGGATCCACTTTCTTATTCGGATCTTCAGAAATTAAGGTACATTTTTTTAAATGTTGAATATTTTTATTTATTTGTGCGATACTAAAAGTATTTGTGAAATGCCTTTCAAGAATAAAATTTTTATGTTCTTAAAATCGTTGAAAAAAAAATATTAGACTCATTTTATTTTATAAAAAATTTTTTTTTGAAAGGGCAAAAAGCAAATTATTTGTTTTTATTTTTATTTTTTTATTTTTTAAAATTTCTTATTTACTTATTTATATGGTACTAAGGACTCAAAATAAACTAGTAATAAAAACATTATAAAAATGTGAAAAAGGAGAAAAAGGGTTTTCTATAATGGAATAAGAATAAAGATTGTGATGAAAATATTAATTGCAATGGTAATTAAAAAACATTTTTATTTTTCCTTTATTCCTTTAGAAACCCCAACCCAGAAGAAATAGGAGTGTGACGATCGTTGGGGGAATTGTTTAATTTAGTTTAGTACATTTAATTTTACATTTAAAATAAAAATGTATTATTAGAAAAATATGAATAAAGTGTTCCTTTATTTACTTGTAAAAGTTTCTTAGCAATTTCATCTATCACTACTTTTTCACACCTATAAATTTAAATAAAATGTCATGTGATAAAAAAATTTTCATTAATTGTAGCTTCCATTTTTTTTTTTCATATAATTGAAGTAAAAATTCATTTTAATGCCAAACAAGAGAAAAATATACGTAACGTATTTTTTTAAAAGTTATTTAGGATTCTCTTTACCAAGTGAAAATCGACTATCCACTATTATATATTTCATATAATGTTATTTTTATTATTATTTTTTGATAAAATCTACGTGGAGTGTGGACCTGAGTCGCCCGCAATTCTGAACGCTCAAGAAGAGGAAACCGCCAGGCAATTTTTATTCCACAAATGTTTTGCCACGTTTTATCTTACTATTATTTCATTATTTCTCAGTCCAATAAAGAAACAAATATGTTTAAAAAATAGGACATACCAAAGGAATACAGTTATTGATTTAGGGCACTAAAGGCCTTAAAGGCTGCATAGGTACGGCACCTCGTGGGACTCCTGTCATATCCACTGCGCATGCACCATCACTTGTCCTTACCCTTTACCCTTCCAACCTAGTTGGCTTGCCCCTAATGTTTTTCACTTGACTTCCCACCCCTTTTTTCCCTTCTTTAAAAAAAAAAAAAAGATCATATTTAATTTAGAAATTCTCTTTACTCCTTTTTTTTTTTTCTTTTTTAAATCTTGAAGAATATCACATGAAAGTCTATATATAGCACGCCAAATCAACTTCATTTCAATCAAAAAATTACAAATAAAAAAAATTGGAATTGGAATCTCAAAAAGAGTTATATTTTTAAATATAAAATTCAAAAAAATGAGTTGTTCAATTTTTGATCTTATTAAAATAAGATATATTATATATCACAAGAGTTTTATATTCAAACTAAGTATCAATGCATGATAGGTCATGGTGGTTTTAATTTAAGGCTACTTTTGTCTATCAACATTAATTCCTTAACCATGAATCAACCCCTTGTACATCACCAAAAAGAGTTTATATATTAAAAATATGATTTATCATGACAATGAAAAATGGGTTTATTTACCGATAAGGATTAATCGAATTGGTAAAAAAAAAAGTTTTCTTTCCTTGTTATTTAGAAAGTAATATTTGGAACGAGTATTTTGAAAATAAACTCTTGAATAAGGTCGATGTCAAAAATATATTTTTTAAATTAAAAAAATATACTTTTAAAATTAGCTTGTAGAAAGAAATAAGCTTCAGTGAAACTTAAAATATACATGATGACATTATAAAAAAATTTTAATATAGCTTATATGTTTGTTTTATTTATAAAATTTTATCCCAAAATTTTCACGAATAAAACATTGCCATAATGTATATTGAAACAAAACATGTTAAGATTTATGTATGATCAGTATTATGGCAAGTTTGAAAATGACTGAAGTTGAGACTGAAATAAGAAGAAAACCAAGACTATTGTCCAATTAGTCTATCAAAACATAGTATATGAAAATCAAAGACTTGCCTAATAAAAAAAAAAAAAAAAGAAGAAGATTATAGAATGGTGGATTCAAGAAAAACTTCCTCTAGCATATATCATTGCTTTTCCTAACATTTCTTGTCATTGGCAAGAAACAAAAATAACTACAATTAAAAGTTACCTTGCATGATAATAATCCTATGATTTATTGATAAAATATTATATTATTAATTTTAATAATTATGATTTAATTTTTAGCAATAGCGAGAAAAAAATTATTTTCTTTTTATATTTTATTTAGTTAAAATGACAACAAAAGGAAAGAAAGAAAAAAATAAAACAACTTTAAAACTTTACCTTAATTTATTTGCCTTTTAAGGTTAAAGGCAAATATATATATATAAAAGAGAGAGAGAGAGAAGGAAATGCTAGCTAGAAGAAAGGCCAACAAATGCCCAAGTAAAAAGGCAAAGTGACTGGCAAAAGGGCAGAGGGATTGAAAGCAAATGGGTAGACCATGGTGGTATGGTAAAGTCAAGTAGGGTCGGTGATAGTGAAATCACCCTAATGTTAATTTAGTGCAATTATTTTTTGCATTAATTAACTTTTTTTTTAAATAAAATTTTTTCTATATTTATAGTTTTTTTTTTTAAAGGTAAACGATTAAGTTGTTAAAAAGAGGAAAGGAGCCAAAATACTACTAAAATTATGACACCAAAGCACTCGAGCAAGAGACTCAAGATTTAAGGTTAATTTAGCATTGTTTAAGATTGGAAAATAAATTGATTTTTTTTTTATTTCAAATGCACAAAAATATTCTTTGAGAAACTTTTTAATTTGAGTTGAAAAATCAAACTTTTAAATTATAAAGTCAAATTTTTTATTATTTAACATTATATTTGAATAAAAAATAGTTTTTGAATGTTAATATTATTTTCAATAATAATATTAAAACGAGACCTTAATCAAGCCATTAGCTATACGATTTATTTCTTGAGAAATGTACTTGAATTATAGTATTTTGTTTGCATGTACAATATAATTTTTTCTCATTTCATAAGTATAATCTTTTTGGTTTTAAATTTTAATTCGAAAATGGGGTTTCACAATTAAAAAATCAATTTGTAAGTAAATTAAAAATTCTATAGTTAAATTACAAGATTCTTTGAAAATAATTAAAAAATCAAGTATGTTGCTTTTGGTTGATCCTTCCATTTTTCACTAACTAAAAGTTTTTCTTAATAATAAAAGCAATCAATATGAAAATTACTTGTATCTTTTTTTCATGGCAAGTTTTAACTTAATTATCAAGTTAAACAAAAAAAATAAATAAAAATCTAAGTTTCAAGTTACCTATATACCTAAACAAGAAATAAAGTTTAGGTACCTCTATAGTCTATAATGACTTCTTTCATTTTTTTTTTCAAAAGTTTAAACATTAGACCTTGAAGTTAAAATTTTGTGAAATTATATTTAAAAATGCATCTTTTAAAAAAAAAATCTACAAGAATTAGTCAAGAGGAATTTTATTTTCATATTAATAAGGTTTGATTTTTGTAAATAATATATTTCAAAAGTACAATTTTAAATGTATTAAACTTTTTTAATATTAAAAGAAAGTGTACTTAAGCTTTCTAAAAGGAAATTAAAGTAAAATGCTGAGAACCATATATTATAAAAATATATACAAAACCAAGAAAATAAAGGAAGAAAAAAAGGATGATGGGAGTATATTTCATATAATATAATTAATTAATCTTAATTTAAAATTATATGAAATATATCAAAATTTATATAAAACACATGTAAATTTTTATTTTGCATGTATAATTATAATATTTTATTAAAAAAATTGCAGGTGATATGCTTTTAAGAAAAAGCTAACGTGTTTAAAGCTCCATTCTCTCCCCATATTAACCCCCTCACCCTCTTCATTATCTGCTGCTCATTTCTCAACCAAAAAAACCAAAGCACACTCTTTCTTTCTCTCTCTCTCTCTCTTCTGTTCCTTTCTAGCATTTGCAAATCTTTCTTCTTTTAGTTCTTGAAGCTATGGCAAAGGAAGAAGAGCATGGCTCATATCATGCTAAGGACTATGTCGACCCTCCACCAGCACCTTTGATTGATGCAGCTGAGCTGAAGAAATGGTCATTTTACAGAGCTTTGATAGCTGAGTTCATTGCAACTCTGCTCTTCCTTTACATCACAGTCTTGACTGTGATTGGCTACAAGAGCCAGACCACCTCTGACTCCTGTGCTGGTGTTGGTCTTCTTGGTGTTGCGTGGGCCTTTGGTGGCATGATCTTCGTTCTTGTTTACTGCACTGCTGGTATTTCTGGTATGTTAATTCATTATATCCTTTTCTTCTTTGCCTTGGGTTTCATTTTGTTTTTCTAGGTGGAAAATGTTTCAATATTTTCTTGGAAAAATTTTCACAGTTTTCCGACCATATTACTATATACTATATGTTTTTTAAGTTTTGAAGTTTCAGATTTTAAAACATAACAAAAGAGATTAAGATTTGTAAAACCAAAAAAGAGTTGATTTTGTTACGAGCTCAAAGCATAATGAATTTTTTTTAGTACAAGGAGGCCCTAATTTAAAGATAGAAAAACAATTATGGATGTTAGGATTTACATCTCAAACTTATAAGATAGCATTTTTTTTTTAAAGTTGATTGAATGAATCATCGACCAAAGCTTTAATTTAAGCCTAATAAATTTCTAAATATAGAAAAAAAGCTTTTTTTTTTTTTTGTATTTTTCCATGGCAAATTCCATGAACAAGCAATCTATGACAAAAAAGTTCAACAATTTTTCCTACTCCCTACCCACCAACCAAAAAAAAGCTGATTTTTTCTCTACTACTTAGTTTATTAAATAACTTAACAGTGCAAAGTAATTTTTGGTTCACATCAAGTCAATCGATTTCTGACCTTAATATAATTGTTATATAATTTTTTTTCCTGCCATGCAACAAACAGGGGGTCACATTAACCCAGCAGTGACATTTGGTCTATTCTTGGCTCGTAAGGTCTCATTGATCCGAGCCCTTGCTTACATGGTGGCTCAGTCTTTAGGAGCCATATGTGGGGCTGGGCTGGTTAAGGCTCTGCAAAAATCATACTACAACAGGCATGGCGGTGGAGCCAACACTCTTTCAGAAGGCTACAGCATTGGAACTGGTTTGGGTGCAGAGATTATTGGTACCTTTGTTTTGGTTTACACTGTTTTCTCTGCTACTGATCCCAAGAGAAAAGCTAGAGACTCCCATGTCCCAGTAAGTACCTTAGCATTTCCTCCATTATAATTGATTTTCACCCTAAAATTCCAGATTAGTAAATTGTTCAATCTTTTTTTATTTTGCAAAACGCACTGAATTTTTCAAAGATTTTACATTTTAATTATATATAAAATATTTTTATTAAGCAACAAAAGATTTTTGAGTTTTTTCTGTACATCTTTTTCTCGGGCCAGTTCATTTATTTATATAAGATTTATTTTTTTCACAGCTTCTGACGAATTTGAATCCAAATAATAAAAAGAAACTCATTCTCTTTGTTGAGTCAATCATCCGGTGGTTAAAATATTTATTTTTCGATCCAAAGATAATGACGATTTGAATCAGATTTCTACCCTATTGACAGATGAGGTTGAGGAAATGGACAGTGGTATGAGCTGGCCAGTCATAACTCTTTGGTTACCAAAGGAATTGTGATATTTGCTTACGCAAAAGGTTTCGTTTTTCTTGTTTCCTTGGACAAAAAAGTTCTGAGTCTACAATTTTTTTTAATATATTTTTCTTTTGGGTTTTGTCTTTTGCCATGGACAAAAGGCAAAGCTTTGTTTCATAAAATCTTGGTCGTTTTTCAGTCCAACGTGAATGGTGGGTTTAAAACAAACGTCTTTCATGTGTCTTGATGGACAATGTCCTTTTTTTCCTTTTTTTTTTTAATTTCTATATTTAGTAAATCCGTGAGAATTTTATCTGCTTAATTTTGTTTAAAGTATATTTAGTTAGTGGGCATTTTATGCTTTCACATGTTTGTGTCACATGCACATAGTTCCATTCCAATTCATGTACTTCTCATGTGAGTTTCACAGAAGAAATTTTTTTATAAGTTTTCGATTTATCATGTTAGCTAAGTGAATATTTGAGATCAATTTGTTCAGTTTTTTTTTTTTGTTACACAATGAAAGAAAATCTCTGATCGCTTGTCCAATTCAACAAGGGCAAAGACATACTCTTAATTAGGGTATTAGAAAAAAATCTCATACAAATCCTTGCAAAAACGTGATTGTAATTTAATCACTAATCACAATTATCAATATGCATTAGAAATGAATTGAGTTATGGTTTTATTTTTTATTTTTTAGGTATTGGCTCCACTTCCAATTGGGTTTGCTGTTTTCATGGTTCACTTGGCTACCATCCCAATCACTGGCACTGGCATCAACCCTGCTAGGAGTATTGGAGCTGCTGTTATCTACAACAACAAGGAGGCTTGGGATGATCATGTTAGTATAATTCTCAATCATTTCCAAAGCTCTTAGTGTTTTTTGATATTACTGTCAAAAATATCTTTGGACTTTACCCAAATCTAATTCTTTTTCTGGCCAGTTTTAAAGATGTACTCTTATAGATCGGTTTTTCTTCTTTTAAGGTCTTCATTATCTTAATTTTCCCTTGACATTCTTTTTTTTTTCAGTGGATTTTCTGGGTTGGTCCCATGGCTGGAGCAGCCATTGCAGCTTTCTACTACCAATTCATCTTGAGAGCAGGAGCTGTTAAGGCTCTTGGGTCATTCAGGAGCCAGACCCATGTTTGATAATGATCTTTGACAAGTCTTTTGCCTTCCTTCATGCTTTTTAAGAGGACACAAAAAAAAAAAAAAAGGAGAAAGTGAAAGTAATGAGGGTAGTTTCTTTTATGATTTATGTGTGGTTATTGTTCCCCAAACACCCCTTTTTCTTCAATTCCCCTTTGTGGAAGTTGAAAATTTTATTGGAACTGAGGGTCATGAAAATTTAGATAAAGTACTCTTTGAGAAGTATGGGTTTGTCATTTCAAGCACTTTCCTTAGAATTTACTTAAACTTCTTATTTTGTACTAATTTATGGTTTTAAAAGTAGTTTTGGACATTGTTATCATTAGTTTACTTATGTCTCAATTTACACTTATTGCTTATTGATTAAGGGTTCACTTTCTAATTCCTACTCATTCCAAACATGAAATTTGTACAAAATATTAGTGTTTTTTCAAGAAGTAAAAGGGGAACCAAAAAGCAGCATGAGAATCCTCATTGAAAGTAGATGCCAAATTTGATAATGCAAAAGGATTAGCTCTTCACCCTTCCAAGGTGAAGAAAAAGATGTTTGTATATTACTATTTAAGTAGCAACTCATTTTGATGATGAAGAAAGTGTTGATAGTATTGTAATGTAGCAATATTTTATTTCATTATTTTACAAGCAAGTTTAAAATTATGAGTTTTTAAATTAATAGGAGTTGTCGAAATGATGTTATCTTATATTCGTTAAATATTAGATTTTTATAATTTTATATTTAAGTTGAATCTTATCACTTATTATCAATTAGTTTTAAATTAAATATTTAAAATGATATTAGAGTCCATTTTTTTTTATATTATTTTTGCTTATTACTTCTATGTGTTACTTCTTTCAAATTTAACATTTGATAACAAGAACTTGTTAAAATAATGTTATTTCATATATATTAAAAATTAAATTTTTTATAATTTTATATTCAAATTGGATCTATTCATTTTATCATTAATTGATTTTAATTTAAATGTTTAATACGAGTGAAGATTTTTTGTTTAATGTTACTGTTTACAATCATGTCGTAATAGTGACGAGTCACGCGGAGGTAAAATGTGGGGTTAACTATAATGTAAGATTGGAAATTTTTATACAAAGTTGCATTCCATTCATATGTTATATATTTTGAAACAGTGTCATAAAATGCCAGCCTCTATTTGTAAGCCGACCAAATCTCATCCTATAAAATGCCAAGGAATTAATGATCTTAGTGGGGCTTCGCATGCAACTCAGAATTATGAAAGGCATCCAAAAACAAATGAAAAAGTGCTGATCCCACTTGCCAAACAGGACAAAAGAAATTGCCTGATTTGGTGAAATCAGTGCAGGTGACCGTTGCATATTCTGACATATAATTAATTTATTTTGTTTAATGTCAACCTCAAATTTCCAAAACATGGACCCAATTCCTTACACATTCTCCTCAACATTATCTCTAGATACTATATCTTTTATTTCCCCAACTTAATTGCATTATATGCTTTGTTGGTGTAACATGCTTAATTCTTACTAATTTTTGCCAAATTTGTATAAATTTGAGGGAAAAAAAAAAGATTTGGATCCAATCCTTTAAGAAAGAAAATCCATACTCCTATAGTTGAATTAAAATGTTTGAGTGAATATCATACTCATTACTCAATAAACTTGTCAACATTAATTTAGCCTTTTTCTTGTTTAAACCTTTTTAGTTGAGTTGACACATTAAATATTTCACTTGTAAAATTTAAGATTTAGGTTCGATTTTCGTTATTAATAATTTTTTTAAAGGATTTGTATATTCATTATAAGTATTCATTGAGATCTGCTATGTACACTGATCTTGGAATGGATAATCTCTCCCCCACCTGAACCTTGATGAAAAAAATAAAACATATTGAATGACATGTGTGACAATGCATGAGTAATCTTTATTATTCCAAGGCTTGTTCTCAAGCAATTTGGTGTTTTTCCATAATCACAGGCTATGTGGGCTGTTTACATCTTGCAAGTTAAGCCCATTTTTGTTCCAAGGATAGACAAATTAAATTATGATATGGCTTGGGTAGGCTTTTTGAATGGGCTTTTTTTAGGCTTTGCCAATAATAACAGGCTTCAACAAAAATTTTCCCTTCAAGACCCAACAAAACCTAAACATAGCTTCATTGGCTAGACCTAACCCATCCAAAAGTTGCAAATGTTTATCATTTAATCCCATTAAACAATTTTAAAATTTAAAAACTCCACCTATAATGTATATAAAATAATTTTTCATAATGTATTTGTATATTTTTAATTCTTTTATTCATTAAAAAAATAAGTACTAAATCAATAATATATACACTAATGAGTATCTTACAAATACATGTTAAAGTAGATTGTTAAAATATTTAATATTTCACATTAAATGCAATAATTTTGGTTAAATCAAAACAATTTTTTCTTAAATTAGAATTTGTCCACTAATTCTGTGAGTGTTTTTGAAAAAAAATGTTTTAAAAGAAAATAGGTTAAAATAATAAAAAAAGTTCTTCAACTTTATAATTTTATTTAAATAAATTTTTATATTTTTATTACACTCAAAATAAGTTTATAAACTTTAATTTACACAAAATAAATCCTAAACCTTTAGTTTTATTCAAATAAACCCCTAACTTTTAATTTGTATTTAAATAAATCCTTAGTATAAATCAATATTTCATTTGAAATAAAAGGTTTATTTAGATATAAATAAAAGAATAAGAGCTCATTCGAGTATAATAAAAATAAATGAAATTATTTAAAAAAAGTAGAACAATTCAAGAGCTTTTTTTAAGAATATTTTAGCCAAAAAAAAAAAAAGTTACTTGATTAAAATATAAGAAAAATTAAAATTTTTAAATTTTACAAACAAAGTTTGCAATATGATACATATATATTAAAAAATTTTAAAAATAAACATGTGAAATTTTTTTAATTTCATTTGCATAAGAGCTTATTTGGGTATAATAAAAATAAATGAACTTATTTAAAAAAGTAGAACAATTCAAGAGCTTTTTTTAAAAATATTTTAGCCAAAAAAAAAAAGTTACTTGATTAAAATAAAAGAAAAATTAAAATTTTTAAATTTTAAGAACAAAGTTTACAATATGATACATATATATTAAAAATTTTAAAAATAAACATGTGAAAATTTTTAATTTCATTTATAAAATTAAAAAATTTCAATGTTAATGAACTCTAAAATACAGGGTTTTTTTAGTGGTTTTTAAAAAGTGTTTCTAAAATGACACATACATCTTTAATGTTATTTTTATAATTGTTAGAATACGTGGTCTTTATGTATATTTTGGAATTGAATTGATATAATTTTAATTCTATAACCGATTCAACAAGAGATTAACAATTATAAAATAAAATTAAGGATGTAGATGTCGAAAGTTTTCCCACAACAATCAATAAGACATTAATTTAGTGATAAAGAGAAGCTTTTAAAATTCTAAGTCTTAGATTTTAGTTTTATTTTGTGTAAATTTAATTCTATTTTATATTGAATTTATTTAATTATATTTTAATTTATTAATTTATTTATAAATTTTTTATATATAAAATAACACTTACTATGATCATAACTTATATTTATAATTTCATAAAAAAAACAAATATAAAATCCTTAAAGCATCTTAACCCCTTAGTAATCATTAGTTTCAACAATTATTTTTATGACCTTGCAACTTGCAAGAATCAAGACGTGACAACTTGGCAGCCAGTACATTAATTAGTGTTTTCCCCCTTATCCTAACACAAATTTTGTCCCCCACTGGTAGTGTTGTAGGCAGGAACTCTCAAGACATTCATTCCATCACTCTTCCCACAGGCATAAGCAACCCTAGCTATCACTTCCATCATTTTCCTCAAAGCTTTCACCATGGCTAGCATCTAAACACTCTAAGGAACCCTTTTTTTTTTTTTGGAAAGCAAACACTCCAAGCGACAAATTCAACTACCATTAGCAACGCCCAACTCAAAAAAAAAAAAAAAAGAACCACCTATATATAAAGAGCAGAGAAAAATTAATTCTCCAAACCATTTTGATAGACCCAAAGTTTCAAAATGGCCCCTATCACTACCATCTTCTTCTTCTTCCTTGATGCTCTCTCTTTTGCTTTCAGTCCTGCAATCTTTTTTCTTGCTCATCAGAACTCGTTGGGGATATCGATGCCCGGGTTGGATTTCTTGCATCCTGATTTCTCAACCTTTCAACTCCTGCAAATTGGATATGCACTTTCATGAAAGGTAATTCATCTTCAGTTATTATATATAGTTGGAAGTCATATTCATGAAGTGGGAGAGTTGCTTGGTTCCAGCCTGCAGGCTTTGCTTTGGTCCCATATACAGCAAAGTCTTTACAAACCAAGATGTTTCAGTTTCAGCAGATGAATGTAAACTTTTGTTTGAATTTTGATGGATGATCCATTTATTTTATCATTTCCCCCTAACTCTTTATAAATTATGTATAAATAACTCTTTATTTGTCATGATCCGTATTATTCTACATTTTTTTAGGTCACTATAAGAAATATTGTAATTAGTTTTGTTTTTACATGTGAGATTATATAAATTATATAATTTTATCTCTAAACGTGTATTATCTTTTAAAAAATAATTATATAAATTAATTGAATTAAAATTAAATTTTAAATATTATAACTAATCTTATGTTCACATTTAATCTAATGCTCTGACCGATGTAGTCATGCCATCTGTCCTTAGATGATAACTTTTTGGAACATTTGTCCATTGAATTCGTTTGGAAAATCATTGCTTGGGCAAATTGGTTTGCAAAGGACACTGTTAGAACTGGCCTCGGAATTTATTGAGGAATGTACAAAGGTTCCTTTCAAAAAGTTCTCCCATTTAGGTTGAGTTTCGTTGGCCATCAAAGACATAAATATGTTTTTGCTTATTACCATCAAAGATTTAAATTTTTTAGATTAAAAGAAGTGGCAATTTGATAATAAAAAAATTACAAAAGTGAGATTTAAACTTAAAAATTATTAAAAATTATTTTTTAAAGATGTTAACATAAATTAATAAATTAAATTTTGGGTTCGTGGTCAAAGATTAATATTATATGTGTAATTGTCTTTTTCAAAAGTTTACAATTACTAATTAAATCCTAATTTAAAGAAAAATTAAAAAATGAGGTGCAATTCTTGCTTTATAAATTGTATTTCTTTTCATGTTCAATGGTAAAGCTTCCTATTTTTTTTTTCCCAAACTTGACAACTTGTCTTTATAAAAAAAAAAAAAACAAAACCAAAGAAAAAAAAGTTGAAAATTCTAATTAACCAAACTAGACAACTTGTCTTTAATGATAAAAAAAAATGTTCTTTTTGTAATTTCCAAGATAAACAAAATTAAAGGTGGAAATTAGAGAACTAAGTATGGATTGAAGTAATTTTGAGTTAAAAAATTATATTTGGATCATTTTCCTCATTTTTAGTTTAAATTGTTTTAGATTTCGATGATTATAAATTTCAAATATTGTTTTGAGTTTCAAGTTATTTATATAGTTATTTTAAAAATAAATATAAGTTTATTTTTAATAGTTAAGGCTGTTATGATTTGGACTTTAATAATTAAAATTAAAATTAAGCACTATATTAAATTTAAGTTAGGATTAGTTTTAATGAATTTTGAATAATTTTTAATGTATTTATTATTTATTAACTAAACTTTAAAATAAAATAAAACTTTTTCTATTAAATTAAGTTTCAAAATTTTCAAATATAAATTAATTCAAGCTTAAATTATTTCAAGTTTGAATTTAATTTTTAATCAATTTGTTTACATATATTACATATGAGTATAAACTTTTTTCACATTTTGAAAATGGATAAACAAAAGTTCGAACTTATAAAATCTAACAAAACGAATATAAATTTGAGAAAGTGAATTTGAATTTTATTTTTTACATAAATTATGAGAATGAAAGGTACATATGAAGCATAATTAGTTAAAATTCATATGTCTTTGTATTTGAAAGGTATACAAAAGTAATCTTAAATTCCCTAAGGATTTCACATTTATCATCCAATAAAATCATGAATTTGTAAAATCATTACGAATATTATATTTATATGAAAATCCAATTCCTTTACGCAAACTTCAAGAATTCAAAAAATGCAAAAAAATAAAAATAAAAAAATAAAAGGCGTACGGCATCGTTTAGAACCGTTTTTCATTATCAATGTCAAAGCTCGCATTTTTCCCCTTCTCTTTTTCGGTTCCTCTGTTTTCGTTTCATTGTCAGAAAATTCACAGGATCAAAAGACAAAGAAGCAGTAGGAGAGAGAGAGAGAAATGCATCTATGGCCATCAGTTAGAATTAGAGATTCATTCAAAATAGCTTATCTAAGAAAACTAGAATGGAACCTCCATAGGATGAAATCGGAGAAACGATCTTCTTCTTCTTCTTCGCCAAGGACCCCAAGCAACCAACAAAAACTCTTAAATGACCAAGAAGTTGCTGACTCAGATTATGCTTCTTCCAATTCCTCTGCAAGTTTTATGGCCGTCTGTAGAGAGATTTTCATGGTCCTTTCTTGCTGTTACTGTTGCTTCTGCTGTGGAGGTAACTCTAAATCTCCCCTTTCACTCTTACTTTTTTTTTTGAAAAATTTTGTTGAAAGCTTAGATTTTTGGGTCTGGTTTTTGATTTTATGTTGGTTTACACTGCTTTTTGACTTGGGTTTTTTATTTTATTCGATTTTTGTGTCTCCTAGACTGTAGCGATTCTTGTTAAAAATTAAGTCGTTTTTATGAGTTTTTGGTTTCATATGGGTTTATTTTTCCTTTTCTAATATAGTTTTTTGATATTATGTGATTTAATTGTTTTTTTGGGTTCTTTAGGGATTTGGATCTTTCAATTCATGACCTTTTCTTTGTATTACCTTTATTCTTTTTTTTTTTCTTTTTGTGGAATTGGAGTTGTTTACTTGAGTTATTTTTTCGATTTTATATGATGAATAATCAAACTTTTGCTTGGTGTTTTGATTTATTGGTTTAAGAAAGTTAGGTAGTTTTTTATGAGATTCTGAACTTAATAATTCCAACCTAGCAATTAAGTACAAAATGTCATAAGTAGTTCTTAACAAATTTCTTTATGTTTTTGTCTTAAACTAAAAGTCTTGCAGCAAGTTAATTGTGGATGAGTGTGTTAATGATCTCTGGGTTCATATTTCAGTGATCCTACTAGATGGCTTAGGCCGTTTGATTTAGCATCAGAATAGTGCAGGCCTTGTATGGTCAAAACACACACAGCTAGGTATTTCAAACAAGTGAAAATTGAGATGTGTGGTACAACCTCAAGCTTGGATTGGTGATCTAAAGATGAGTGAATTGAGCAAACAAAGACAGCCCGATTTTACTCCTAAAATGGGAGATATAAAGTTAATTTTAGAAGTATGAATGTCCATCTGTCTTTGGTATGCACATAAATTAAAGTTATGAAGGACAATGAAGTTTGAAGATGGAGAACATAGCACTAGTTATAGTTGGGAATCGTTTTTGGAATTTTGGAAAATATTTATCTTATCTCTATTTTGCTTCTGATTTAATGAGATGAAAATCCTGAAACTGATTAGTTGGACATTGATTACCCATCATTATAAGTTCTCGGTAGGTTGATCATGCCTTCTTTGCACATACTTTGTAGCATGTACTGGTCTTATAGTAGAGATTTAGGAAAAAAATAATGAAAACGATATAATGCTAGTTCTTCTTATTCAGTATATGAGATTTTAGAGAAAAGGTGTCTATGAAGCCTTGACTGAGGATGTTTATCTTGTAGTTTGACCATGGCTAGTTCAAGTGGGGTCCACATCAATTTGGTTAGACCTATTACATATTGGGATGGGAATGATGGTAGTCTGGTAGCTCTCAGCATTTTTTGGAGAATATAAGAATTGGGTAGTGCTTTGGATGTTCATGTTCTTAGCAAGTATCATAAAAGGGTCTCAAAGCTGGTTTTCTTTTGATGTTACTGTTGGGAGCTGTTGTACTCAACTGACGAGTCTTTTGGGGATGGGGATTTCCTGGCAATGCTTATAATTTTTTTTCCCAATCTTCTTGCCTGAATTGATGCTTACGAAGATATCTATGCATGCACAATGAATCCTTTGTTCTCTTCTTCTGAAGGAAAATAAGTAGAAGGAATTTAAGCTTTTGAACTTTGAAAAGATTTATATTATTTCATCTTCCTTTTTTCTTCTTGTTTTTGTTTACCGAGCTTAGGCAAGAATCAAAGATACCAGCAATAGCAACCTGTTTCAATCTATTTTGTTAAGGCACTTGTCAAAATGGGCACACACACTCATGTAAAGCTGTTAAGTTTCCTTTCCTTCAGTTGGTTTATACTTGCCACCGAAACAAGAACCCTAAAAAACATTGGGTAGAGGTTTGCTTATGCTGAAGCAAGATAATTTTTAATCTTTCAGTTGGATTCTGGAACTGCTTTTTATCTTTGCTACTCAATCACATTTCACATTGATGGATGTCAAGTTCCAGTGTTCTCCTTATGATACATCTTTGATTGCTTGTGGCGGGTTTAATTTGTTATTGTCACCTAATTTATATTGTGAATTACCCCTTTCAGCTTGTGTTGATCAAGAAGATAAGTGATGCAGTAAATGGCAGGTATGGTTTTGGATGCTGAATCCATCCCTTGACCACAGAATTGCACAAAATGATGTAGCTAGAAATAAAAGGAAAAATACTTTTTACAAACTGAATGATAATGACTCTCTCTCTCTCTCTCTATATATATATATATATATATATTATGAGATAGTTGTAGTAGTCATGTGACAATCCTTGGACTATTGCTCTCTTATCAGACTTGTACAGTTTATTTGATTGTTATAGGAGTATGATATATTACAATTATTGTTACATTGTATTGACTCATCACATTTCATGATTTTTTTTCTCTGCTAGACTTACCAGAAGAGGTGTTTATGGGTGGGACTGTATAGGGTTCATATTTAATATTAATAACATATTCTTGTTTCGGTTGGACCTAATATTTTGGGCTTCAATTTTTTAGCCTATTATATTGTTATGATCTCTATTTATAGATAAAAATAAACTATAATTGGATAACCTTGGTTAGGTTACCGTACCAATCTATTTACTGTACATCTTTAACTGTAGCTATCTGTTTTCTTTCAGCTACAATTTTGTTTTTACTATTGCTATTTGTTGTCTTTTAACTATTTGCTACAGTGATTTTTGTTAGAAACCGAGCTGTTTTAACTGTCAGTTAGTGAATGAAAATCTAGGATGCAATCATAATGGTCAAATAGGCCAAGATGCTCTAGATGTTCTTCAAAGCTATCCTTCATGGAAAACATTGATCATCCGCAATATTTGCTGATACAGTATCAAGAAGGATGGGCACTATGGAATCGGTTCAGAAGCAATTCACCTGATGACCTTCATGGCCTTGAAGATGAAGAATTAATGAATCTGGACAACATAAAGGAGGGATAAGCTATTCCAAGCCTATCCACTAACTGACAGCTAAAACAACTCGGTTTTTAATAAAAATCACTGTAACAAACAATAACAGTAAAAGCAAAATTATAGCTAAAAGAAAGTAGACGGTTACAGTAACCTAATCAAGGTTATGGTAACCTAACCAAGGTTATCCAATTATAGTTTATTTTAGTCTATAAATAAAAGACAACAGATAGGAGGGATAAGCTATTCTAAGCTTATCCACTAATCGATAGCTAAAATAGCTTGGTTTTAAACAAAAGTCATTGTAGCATACAGACAGCAAACAACAACAATAAAAGCAAAACTGTAGCTAAAAGAAAGCAGACAGTTCCAATTAAAGATGTACAGTAAATAGATTGATACGGTAATCTAATCAACCTAACCAAAGTTATTCAATTATAGTTTATTTTTGTTTATAAATAGAAATCATAGCAATGTAATAAGCAGAGTATTCTGACAGTCTCTCTCACTGCAAACTTATTCCAAGCTTATCCATTAATCGATTGCAAACTTATTCCAAGCTTATCCATTAATCGACAACTAAAACAGCTTAGTCTTAAACAAAAATCGCTGTAGTAGATAGTTGAAAAATAGCAGATAGTGACAGTAAAAGCAAAATTATAGTTGAAAGAAAGTTGATAGTTACAGTTAAAGATATATAGTAAATAGATTGGTATAATAACTTAACCAAAGTTACAGTAATCTAATCAAGGTTATTCAATTATAGTTTATTTTGTCTATAAATAGAGATCATAGTAATGTAATAGGCAGAGTTGGCAGTTTTTTTCACTGCAAACTTCTTGGTTTTAAAAGATGGATCTACATGCAAACTATGATTATAAGTTTTATTTGAACATATACAGTTATTTTCTTCAATTTATTCCATGTTTTATGTGCTTAAGATCGGTGCTAGTTTTCCTTAATAGTTTAAGAAAAAAAAGCCAGTTACACAACTTCTATTAGCTTAAAATACCAGTAGCGAAAATAGAAAATAATGTGTATGAGCTGTAAAACATAGAGCAATCTTTCAAAGATAAAGGTACTTTGATATATCTCTTGAAACTTTACACGATTACAATCAACACAAATAACATAAGCTCTGATCCCATTTACATAGAAAAGTGGAAGGGAGAAGAACGATAGGTATTTAAAGAGAGAAGGAAGAAGAAAGATAGGTAAAAGAGAGAAATAAGAAGAGAGAAGCTGGATGAAAAGTTTGTAGTGAGAGAGGTTGTCGGAAAACTTTATCTATTACATTGTTATGATCTCTATTTATAGGTAAAAATAAATTATAGTTGTATAACTTTGGTTAGGTTATTGTAACCTTGGTTAGGTGACTGTAACCTTGATTAGGTTATTGTAATCTTGGTTAAGTTATCGTACCAATCTATTTACAATACATATTTAATTGTAGCTGTTTGCTTTCTTTCAACTACAGTTTTGCTTTTACTATTACTGTCCGTTGTATTTTAGCTATCTTTTACAGTAATTTTTGTTGAAAATCGAGTTGTTTTAGGCTCAAATTGGGAAAAAAAATTTAACTCTACATATTAAACTTAATTTATGTAATAAAAATTAAAAATAAAATATAAAAAATAAAATTTACATATATATATATTTATATACTTATAATATTTTAATTATATATAATTTATTTGGGTTAGGATTTAATTTTTTTTATTAAGATTTGGCTAAAAATTTAAATGAATTTAAAAATTATATTTAAATTCATTTAATAAATTTTAATATTTTATTAAAATTTTTTTTAAAAATTTTGAACGAATTTTCTGAATACGAATTTAAACGACTACTTGCCAATAATTTCGTCGTGTTTTTCGCTGGCATAACCTTTGGAATAACCAACAATTATTGTTATGGTATGGTGCCTGGCCGTCCTTGGGACCATTGCTTGATGGCAAAAAACTACCTCCATTAGCAAATGGTAGATGCAAGAACCATGAAAGGTTAGTTGCCCTCGCCAACTACGCCTCTTGTTCAATAACAACTTCAAACTACCTCTCTTTTTGCTAAACTTAAATGCACACACTTTCCAACTTTGTATTCTTTTTTTTTTTTTTAACATAGGTTTAATCTCTACAAAATAAAAATTTAAAACAATTTAAGCTATTTAAGAACTACTTAAATTCGACTTGATAAATATTTTAAATTCAATTTGTTCGTTGCCGAGTTGAGTTTAAGTTTAAATTTATTGAATAATAAATTGAGTTCGAATTTTATAAATAATAACATTTTAATTTAAATGATTCACAAGTTTTATAAAAAATTTTAATATTATATAAATAAAATATAATATTTATTTACATGTTTATAAAATTTAATTTAACTTTTTATATCAAGTTAAAGTTGAAGTTGAATCTTGAATACTGTATAAATTAATAATAATAGAGGTTTGAGTTAGGTTTGAATATTTTCAAATTAAGATAAAGCATCAAAAAAAAATTATTAAACTTGAATTTAATATTATATCAACTTAATTCAATTTTATTATTCTTCTAAACGAAGAAAGTTAGCAATATTTCAATTATCCATATAACCCTTTAAGCTAACAACTCTATTATAAGAAGAACTACTTGAATTTGGAACACTCATGTATATCTATTTTATTAATTAAGGCTCTTATAAATGTTTTAATTTTTTGTTAATTTGTTTTTAATTTATATATATAAATTAAAAAAAAATTTCATTAAAATTTTATAATTTTTAACATATTTTTAGCCTTGACTTTTATATATTTAATTCAAAAAATTCACGTCTGACTTTTTTTGAATTTATAATTCATGATTTTTAAAACTTTGATCATCGTATATATCATTTGAATTGTTAACATGTCTTTTTCCCTTTTTTTTATTAAGAAAAAAAATGCTTTAAATAAACTTTGGATACTTTCAAGAAATCTAATTCATTACTCTATAATTATCTTTTCTTTTAGGAATAATCGATTTCTTTTAATTCTATTGATCAAGAATTAATATTTTTAATTTAAAATTTTAAACTTGTACTTTTGCGATCCCAAATTTAAATATACAAAAAAAAATGAAATGACAGAAGGATTCTTCAATAAAATTCTGGTTTCCAACTTTCCATACGAGATATAATAAAGAATCACAATCATTACATACGTGTCATAGAGCCTGTGTGCATGATAAAGAATAGCACATAATGCACCAGATCACACTTCCCTTTCAAGATAAATATCCTTCAACGCTCAACGGAATCTTGCACTCAAAACTTCTTGGAATTATCTTCACATTCCTGCGCATTTTAGCAAAAATGGCGCGGCATCCGATTGCTGAAGCCAACGAGAAGAGCCCCTTCGGCAGCTTAACTCCCGACGAGTTCTATGACCACCACTCGGTTAGTCACTCCTCCGAGTTCATCACCAACGCGCGCGGCCTCAAGCTCTTCACCCAGTGGTGGACCCCACTCAACACTCCAATTTCAGGAATCGTCGCTGTTGTCCACGGATTTACCGGCGAGTCGAGCTGGTTCCTTCAACTCACCTCTGTTCTTTTCGCCAAATCGGGATTCGCCACTTGTGCGATCGATCACCAGGGTCACGGCTTCTCCGAAGGCCTTGACGGACTCGATACTCACATCCCAAACATTGATGGCGTTATCGACGATTGTATTCAGTTCTTTGACTCTTTCCGTGCCCGTCACGCGCTGCATTTGCCGGCGTTTTTGTACTCGGAATCGCTTGGCGGAGCCATCGCGCTTTATATCTCGCTCAGACAAAAAGGCGCGTGGGATGGCTTGGTTCTGAACGGCGCAATGTGCGGGATAAGCGCTAAATTCAAGCCTCCATGGCCGTTGGAACATTTTTTATTCATAGTCGCCAAGCTTATCCCAACCTGGCGAGTGGTCCCGACGCGTGGGTCTATACCAGATGTTTCATTTAAAGAACCGTGGAAGAGGCAGTTGGCAATGTCCAGTCCAAGGAGAACGGTGGCGAGGCCACGCGCCGCCACTGCATACGAGCTCATTAGGATATGCAACGATTTGCAAGGGAGGTTCGAGGAAGTGGATGTTCCATTGCTTATTGTGCACGGTGGTGATGACGTTGTGTGTGATCTAGCTTGCGTGGAGGATCTTTATAAACGCGCTGCCAGCGTGGACAAGACGTTGAGGATTCATCCAGGGATGTGGCACCAATTGGTTGGGGAGCCGGAGGAGAGTGTCGAGTTGGTGTTTGGGGAAATGGTGGAGTGGCTTAAGAGTAGAGCCTCACGCGCCGCCGAGGCAAAGAGTGTTGGTGATTCAGGTTCCGCTGTTGGCACTGGTAGCTGATAGTTGGGTGGTTAATTGGTTGTGTAACTCAGGGTGGACCAATGTAAGCTTGCCATGTCCTAAGCAAATTTAATGACATTAAAAGCACCTTTTGTATTGGACAATCCTTCACAGAGTGCTTACTTGGATGCGTGGTTGACATTGGATGCGGATGCGGTGAAAAAAAAAAAAAGATTCGAATAGAGTTTTTTTATTTGATTTAAATTAAATTAAAATATTAAATATATATATTAAATTTAAATGAAATTGTAAAAAATTAAAAAAAATTTTAATTGAATCAAATTATATGTTTTTATTAATTTGTATTTATTTTAAATTTTTGTAAAATAAAAATAATTATTTTTATATAAATTAAATTTTTTTATTAAAATAATATATAAAAAATAAATTAAATTTAAAAATTAAAAATTAAAAATTTTTTTCACTTTTTCTTGTTACATAGGTAAACTTATAAACTTGTTAGCTTACATACTAATAGTGTTTAGCCAAATAATAATGTAGTTTGGGCCTATAAAAAGAAAAAGTAGTATTGTCATTTGAAACTATCTTTATTTGATATAGGCAAGATTTGTTAAAAAAGTTTACAAAATTTATGTTCAAAGAAATCATTGACCAAATTTCTCACTTCCGAGAGGTTGGAATTAATGTTAGGTGTCCCACGTCAACTGTATGCAAATTAAAGCTATAAGAAATGGATTAGTTATAGCATTTATTAAAAAGCAATTCAAATTGAATACAAACCATTGCCATTAAAATAATGTCACATCAAGTGGATGGGCAAAGTTAATACATGTTTGAAAAAAAAAAAGGTATATCTAAATATTTTATATACAATACAAAAGTAGTATGATTTAAAATTTTAATAAAAAATATATTTTGTGTTTAATTTACGAATACAAATTATGATATAATAGTTTTTATATTTTATATGTGTTTACACATAACTTATTAGGTATTAAAAAAGCTATTTCTCTATTCTTAAAGTTACTTATAAGGATGTTTAGGCACATTCATGCTGATTTTTTTGGTTAACCTTTTTTAGTAAGGATCCAAGAAATTTGTGTGAGTAAATTTGGAGTATTTCAATGGTCTTTTAGTCCAAATATTTGGAGTATACCCACTTGTCAACTGAATTAAGATTGTGTTTGTGTATTCATAAAAAAAAAAAAAAAGATATATTTGTGTAAGTTTTGACTAAGTTTGTGAAGAATGTATGGACAATGTCACATTATTGAATAGGTCAGTTAGATCATCCACTTTCCAAGGAAAGAAACGAATGAAGAACTAAACCTTAGAACTGACATTTCAATTTTTTATCTTATTGATTGAACAAATCATTGTATCATTTCAATGCCCTTTTTCTGTTTCTTTTTTTTATTACTTTACTTTCTTCTGTTAGATTGAATAGTTGTTTACATAGGAATTCCAGCAAAAGAACTTGCATGTTTCAGTCAATTTTGTAACGGGAAGTCATATTCAAGGTGAAATGGAGCATATTTTCAATCTGATCGAAGTGGATACTTCTAATAGTAGGATCAAAGTTTCCATAACTGAATCAACAATGATGCAGATTCTGCACAATGCAATGGACAAAGCATATCGAAAAGTTAAGTCAAAAAATGGGGCTCTTGAACGCTTGAATGAGATATCAAAATTCTATGAATTAGCAGTGCTGCAATTAGAAGGGTGCTTGAAGTTTGTTCAAGAAGAAACAGACAACTATTTTCTTGATAGCAGCCATGAATTTTTGCTTGAGGACTTAACAGAAATTCGAGACCGCCTTCAAGGACGCCTCAGGGAAGTAGAGCTGGCTATATCGGACAAAGATAAAGAGTTATTGGAGAGACTAGGGAATGAGTTGAAGCTGAAGAAAGCATTGGAGATCAGTGAAAAAGAATTGGATTCTTTGCATGCTGACCTTAAATTGGAACAAAGGAAGAGCGAGGGCATTGAGGAGTTCTTTCTTGGCAACCAAGCAAGCATTGAAAACGGAGATAGAGAAGGCGAATTCTGCGAGTTAAAGAATTCAGTTGATCAGCAGGTATGGAACATTCAACAACAGCTTGAGCCTAACTATCGACTCAGAGAAGAAGAAAGAAGTCAAGGGATCGACAACAAGAAAATCGAGCAGATGGGATCAGATATTAGCATTTTAAAGGAGACTCTTGATCTTGCCTTTTGTAAGATGCAGAATGCAGTTTTCTTATCTGAGCTTGGGCCAATAGAGCATCAATGGATGTGGAACATAGAGAGAGGTATAGCGGCCATTGTGATTAAAGGATCTTTGAAAGATTTTCAAGAGAATTTTGAAAAGGAAGTTAAGAAGATAGAGATGCGGGTCTCAGATGGCTTGAGAAAGCATTTAGCTGATGTGATCAGGGACATGACTTGCCTCAACCATGAGCTTGAGCTTCTTAATAATCAAGATGAGGTTCAATTGAAAAGTTTAAAAGCTAAGGGTTCTCTAAAAGAAAAAGGCAGATGTTTACCAGAAACTCGAAGTTTTGGCAATTCCAGCAATGTCTCCTTGAAGGTTGAAGAAGCAAATACAATCAAGCAGCCCCGCAATGCTGATTCAGAAGATGATGCAAGTCATTTTGTTGCAAAGATGATAAAGAATCATGAGTCCATAATCCGTAAAAAAAGTGAAGAGCTTACTTTGTTGACGCGAGACCTTCTTCCGGAGAAAGCATGTCCACCCCTCTGGAAAGAAAAGGATTCTGTCAATCCGAAAAGAAGGATTCAAGAAGTTATTGGGTGTTTGGAGAGTTTGATAAATTGGAATCCTGGGATTGCTGATGATATTTTTGGTGACACTAGATATGATTATGAGGTGGAAAAGCATCCTGAGGTGATGTTATTTACAGATGATCAGATGGATATAGAGAAATCAGGCATTGACAGTATGGAAGAAGTATGGGCAAAAGTGAATAAAACCTCAGTTTCTCAAGCTGGAAATGAAGAGCCATACACAGAAATGAGGACGCTGAAACAAGAAATGGAAGATGCAAATCTGCAAACTGTGATGATGGAAGAGACTTATTTAACTCTTTTCAAAAGTTTGGTTGATGAATTTCATACTGAGATGCTTAATCATCACATGCATTGCCTAATAAAAGAAGGTATGTATGAAAAATTTATTGAGGAAATAAATGATGAGTGGAATGAGAAAACTGAAAGTGACAGAACTGAAGTGCAAAGCAGAGAAGAGAGATATGATACCGTGTGCACAAAGGCAATGAAAGATCTTGATGCTGCTCATAACTCCATTGCAGCACATTATCAGAATGCAAATGCTGAAAGTAAATGTTTTCAAGACCCAAACTTTATAAGTGGCTTAGGTAATTTGGAGGGTATGTTAAAGGATGATGTTTACACATTCCTCTTACAGGAAACACTCAGGGAATGGAATGAGAGTATAGAAAGTTTCAAGTCTTTAAGTTCTCTAGGGGAGGAACTATGTTTCATTGTCTTTGGTGAAACTGTTAGAGATATTATGAACACGGCCAATTATGCATTAAGCAAACTGCAAGAGATCAAAGTTCATGACAGTTTCAATTATGACTTCCAATTCAGCATCAATTTTTTTGAAAGTGCAGCAATGTCGATCAAGGATGATGTTTGTAACGTGTTTCTCGCTGAGATGATCAAGGAATTGGAGATGAAAATATATGCTTTTAGTATTGAGAGTCTCATCAGGGAAGAGGTGCTCCAATCCGTCATTGTTGAGGCTGTGAAAGAAGCTGATAACTGGAATCAAGACAGAAGTTCAAACAACTTGTTCTCTATTGACAACTTAAGAACAAGCCTAAGGGAAAATGGGAAAGAGAATTTGACATTAACATTAGATAGACTAGTGAAATTCATGGAAGAGGAGGAAGCTCTGATACAAGGTGCCTGTTCTGAAATAAAGCAACAGAAGATGCGCCCTGACCTTGTTGGTTCCGTGTTTGACGAGTTGGATGAACATGAGCATTTTCAGAGATTATTTACAAATGAGCAAAACAGTTCTAATTCAGCCTATAGCAAACTTGGGAAAGCTTTACAGCAGTTAGACTATGGTAAGGTACTATTGAGTGAGTTTGGATTCCAACTAGGCGTATCAGTTGGCAATTCAGAATGGCATCACAAAGAAATGACTCCACTTATTGCCACCAGGCATTGCAGGAAGCCCTCTATTCACCAAACAAAAGATATTGAGGAGGCGAAAATGAATATATATGAATCTCTGTTAATCCCAATCCAGGAGTTATCGCGGACATTGAAGAGTTTCAAGTATGGATCATGTACAAGATTAGGAAGGCATATTTTGAGGTACTTAATTTCGCGTATAAACTTCAATTGCTCGCTGATGTTGCTTTTTTAGTTGAAAAGGTCTTCATGATCTTTTTTTAACACATGTATAATCACTGATCAAAGCATTCTGAGATCATACTGTTATGATTTGTCTTTATTCCTTTGCTAAAAATTTACTGATAAAAGTACAGATTCTCGGAATATACAATGGATGTCATAGCACCTTTATGGACTAAGCTAAGTACCATGCAATGGCTATTTGCAGGTTGGATGAAATAAAGCTTCAGCTAGATTTACTTGTTGAACTCACTGCCTCACTCAGCCAAAAGGAATCACTTTACAGGAAGGCTTTTATTAGGAGATGTGAGAATCTCCAAATGGCTGAAACTGAGGTGCTGAACTACACTCATCATCATCATCTTTAGCAATATTTTCCTGACTAATGAATTGGTTTCGGGTTCTCAATTCAACTTCAGTTTGCAAAGTTCTTATTTCAATACACTGTTTATACATATATATATATATATATATATAGGTGGATCTTCTTGGTGATCAAGTGGATCAACTTCAAGGAGTACTTAAGAAGATCTATATGGCACTGCATCGACATTCACCAGTGTTGCAGCAGTATTTTGAGGTGTTTAGCATTCAATTTCCTTGTGCAATCACCTGTCTTTCTTTGGGACAACCTGGTTTTGATGTTGCTGTTTTTTTTTTTCTTGCAGGTCTCAGAAATGTTGAAGCTAATAGAGAAAGAAATAGGAGGAAGATGAGATCAATACCATTAATTTTTTTCCTCCTCTTTTCCCTTTGTTTTTGTCTTCTGAAAGAACATATATAGATCACACATTATGCAAAATATAAAGTAGCTTATGATATCAAATCAGAGACAAAAACCATCTATTTTAAAGTTTGTAAACTTCAATCATGGAAAGGGCTAACATTCAAGCTGAATACCCTTTTTTGAAGTGAGTTTGTTGCCAAATATTCTTTTGTTTTATAAATTCAGTATAGGAAATAGAGAAAAATTTTCAAAATGGCAACTGATAATTTGAAGGTGATATCAGAAGATGCTGGAGCAGTTACTTCAAGATACATTGCCGCATCCACTGTGGCATAGGTTTTATAGGCTGCAACACTACATAAATTTTAACTTGAGATGTACTAAAAGATTTCCAAGATAAATATTCAGAATTGCTTTTGTCATTTAAAAAAGCAGGGCGAAGCCTATCCGGATGGGATAATTGGAAGCATTAAGATTAAATCCAATCTTTATAAGAGTTCATCTTTTAAGAGAAGTGAATGAATCATTTAAATTAAATTAAATTTCGTCCTCTCATATCAGCATTGCTTTAATCTAAATAAAAGTTAAATGCAAGTTTTTTTTTTTTTGTTGACAAATGTCTTTAACATATAAATGGATTGAGAATATTTAAGTTAACAATTTAGATATTTTGAAAAGAATGAATAATTTTTTTTTTCAATATATTAATGAGATTAAATTATTAAAATCTTTGAATATTTGTTAAACGCTTTTAATTTTACAGGATAATTAATGGTATTGAATTATCGTATTATATAGTAATTTTTATCAAACTTTTTAGTATACTCTTAAATTGTCTTGATGTTATTGACTTTTATGAAATTTAAGAAAATAATTTTGACTTTAATGTATTTTATATTAAAATTTAAAATTTTTTATAAAATTAAAGTTTTATGATTTTTAATATTAAAAAATAAAAAAATTATTTTAAAATATAAAAATAAGAGTTTTAAATATTTAAAAAAGGAAAAAGAAATAATTTTGTTACATCTTTAAAAAAAAATGGACAGAGAGAATATTGATATTCAATAATTATCAAATTAAATGAGTGATACTGATAGTATTTGAGAAGATCAAATAATTTTTTTTATTTCCTAGGTTATTAATAGGTTTGAATTACTTGTTCAATGTTGTTAATGGGATTAAATTATTAAGAGTAGATAATTTTTTGTAATATTTCAAAATTGTTGATGAGATTTAAATTTCAACAAAATATATAGATTATTGTCATATCAAAATGTCACGTAAGCAAAATAAAAAATTATGTCGCCAGATTAATGGTTAAATCAACATTTTGAACAGAAAAAATTGAACAAAGATTAAACTAAAGTTATTAAATTAAAATAATATAAAAATTACATTTGTATGAATTATAATAAAACAAAAATTAAATTTCAAATTTTAACAAAATACAAAAATGACATAATTTCACATTTTTTATAATACAATGGGAGATATTCTTATATTTCGTCTAAATTTAATCTCCTATATCCCATATGATGAGCCTGAATTAATCCCTTATCAAGATTTTATTTTTAAACCTTAATTGAAGAAAAAGAACTCTTTTACTCACCATCTGAATTAAATTTTTTTTTATAAAATAAAGTAATTAATTATGATTCAAATTTTTTATAATTTATAAAAAAATTATTATTAACTAATAATTTAATATTTATTTGTTTGTTTATTTAAACTTGCCCCCCCTTAGCTGTAGTAGTCCGCCTCCCTCCCCTAAAAAGTTAGTTCTTCATCAATACTCCATGCACTGCCTGTCTTCGACCCTTAAAGAAAAATGTCTACTACAAGAAATATTCTTCTCCTCTTTTCAATCCTTCTGATAACCTTAGCCATCTTTTCATTGCGTTCTCAATCTCACCATCCATCACTACTTGAAAGCTCTACCATGCTAATCTTAAACAAGTGGTTCTACCTGCAGGCATTTTGCTCAAATTCAGCCAAGAAGAAACCATAGATTTCACTGATTTCAATCCTCAGGAATCACATGTTAAGTCACCTGTTATTCATGGTGATGATCACAAAGATTGGGTGGAACTATTGAAAGGAAAGAATTTCAGCAGTTTCATAGCTGAGAACAAGTATGTGATGGTTCTTTTCTATGCCCCTTGGTGCTATTGGAGTAAACGACTGGCCCCCGAATTTGCAGCAGCTGCTACTTTGTTGAAGGGTGAGGTTGCTTTGGCTAAAGTTGATGCTACCATGGAAACTGAGTTGGCTGCGAAGTACAGAGTTTCTGGATATCCCACAATGTTTTTGCTTGTGGGAAGAGTTCGAAAGCCTTATTACTATGACAGAACCAGGTATATGTTAAGGTTTTTGTTGGATTTTGTTTCAAGAATTCTCTGTTTGTTTTGATGATCAAAATTGGTCTTAGCAATCATGATCATATTCTTCTGGTTTTTATTCAAAATATTCACACAATTTCTTCTCCCCTAAATTCTGATATTTTATTAAGTCCTATTATTAGCAAAAGTGTTTTAAAAAATGTAAATATATATATATATATATATATATTTTTTGAGCTGGATAAGGAGTAGTATTGGTGTTGTGAATGTAACAGAAAAGGATGATGCAAAGCGTATTTTGGCTATGGATTCTACAAAGGTTGTGGGATTCTTTGACACTTTAGAGGTACTAAAAGACACTGTTTGGTTTTTGAGCAATGATGAATTTCACCACATTTCCTTCACAATTTTCATGAACCCTAAATTGATTCAAGGAGCTTGACATTGCAATATCTCAATGATCCCACAATGATCTCATTCTTACATATGATTCAAACCGCTTTGCTTGTCCAATCATTAGATTCCATTTCCTATGTTATTGACAGGGTCCAGAAACTGAGAAGCTCGCTGCAGCTTCAAAACTGGAACCTGACATCAACTTCTATCAAGCTGCTTGCCCTGAAGTTGCAAAGATATTCTACATTGACCCACAAATCAAACGCCCAGCTTTGGTCGTGCTGAAAAAGGAGGCTGAAGATTTGAGCCACTTTGGTTGATCATTCTTGGCTTCTTAAACAGTTTTAGGACTCCCAAAATGTTCATTGTCTTCAGATGGTTCATTCACCAGATTGGCAATACCAGACTTTGTGTCCATCAATAAACCGCCTTTGGTTACCACTTTTACTGAATAAAGTGCTTCATGGATTTTTCAAAGTCCAAGAAAACAGGTAAATACCTTATAACTATTTTCTTATCCCCAACATTCCATTGTGGTTGGTTTTAACATCTCTAAAAACCTTTTTATCAGTTATGGCTTTTGGACACTAAAAGTGAATCAAAGAATCAGCATTTGAAGAAGCATCGAAAGCACTTGGACAAGAGGTAACAATAACATTTCATCGATGGACTGCATACTTTACATGCATGTGTGTATGTTTGTAAGCTTGATTAAATCCATTTAAGTGGAGAAACCATAGGAGTTTCCCTGCAGATTCTCTTTGAGTATGCGGAAATAAGTCATGATGATATAGGGAGATGACTCGCATCTCAATTTGCATTAACTGGAGATGCTCCAAGAGTGAGTTTGATTTGTTCATCCCTTATACAGCTACCACCTCTAATCCAACAAAGGAAAAAAAAAAAAAAGGAAATTGTTTTGTCTCTTATAATATTAGTTCTTACCGCAAGTAGTTGATTTGCCTGTCAGCAGGTTATAGCCACCAGTAGAAATGGTAAAACATATGTATTCAATGGTGATATAACCTCAAGCACAATCAAGGTTTGAATCTGTATCCTCCCCAACACATTTAGCTTTATTTATTGCTAGGTTTCTTCATTCCTTTTGCATTGTAGGCATTGAAGATTCATGATATGTACTCACAGTCTAATCCTGTCTTCTCTATTCTTTTTTTGGTAGTCATTTGGAGAGGATTTCTTGGATGACAAGCTTCCTAATTACTGGCTCGAATCTGATTCCAGAGAGCAAATCCTTAGACTTCACACACGTTCTGATGCCTCCGATCCAACGTCCTTTCCACATGTGGCTTAGGAATTTGCAAAAGGAGATTGTGTTTTCTTCTCCATAAGCCAAATATTATATGTTCTTATAACCCTGGTTTTTATTGAAATCCTGTAAGAAAAAAGAATCAATAAACTAGAAGAAGCTTTGGTGTTCCATTAGTTGGTATGCATTGGATGTCCTTGAAGGTTTGAGAATGTCAACACTGAACATGGTTTAATTATATTGTAGTATTAAACTTTCAACCATTCTCCTGATGCTGCTAAAGCCTAAATTTGAAATTGAAACTGAATGTATGGTGTTTCAATTCTTATGGTTGGAGGCAATCTATTTATATACCTATATAGAATTGTCATGAGATGATCAAATATAGAAGCTTCATGATCAAAGATTTGATTCTAAACACAAAAGAATCCAAACGTGAAGAGTTTATATTGGAGAAGTCGAATGGTCGTATAAGCGAGTCGACTGTCCATGGTTTAAAGAAGAAAAGAAAGCTTTTATTGAGAAAATACTCTTGGGAAGTCGAATGACAGCTGAGAGAAGTCTGACTTTCCCGCTTGGAAAAGACCTCACCTTCATAAATACAGTAAGGAAGTCAAATGCCCTCCACAGGGAAGTCCACTTCCATGTCTAAAAAATGTTTCCGGGCAGTCGGATGCCCGAACAAGACATTCAACTTCCCTAGTTCGAAAAAGTGTGCTTCTTGAAGAACGAAGAATGGTTTTTCTTGTAATGAAATGTATTCACTCATAAGTGTTCTTTCACGATGAACAATTACATATGTAATTATTAAGAAAGGAGTGATTCTTGATCGAAGGAAGTAATGGTTGATTGAAACAAACCAATCAAAAGGTCACAACCCTAATCTTTATAAATAGAGATGTTTGAAACACATTTGTACACTTTCAAGAATTCTGAAACCATTCTCTTCTTTCTCTCATTCACTATCAAATAAGAGCAAGTGTCTTTAACATTATTGGCCGCAAAAAAACCTTGTTTAATGCAAGGTATTTTTGTCTCACATCAAAGATATTTAGTGGTTTGATACCACTATTGTAAAGTTATTTCAAATAAGACTTTATTTTATCTTTGAGACATTTTTTTATCACTTTTGCATACAATAACTGCTAGCAATGAAATAAACCTTAAAAAAAGTAACATTTGGAGCATGTCTTGAAACCATTTTCTTTCCACATTGAAGGTTTCATCTTTAGTCCAAGACAAAGCTTAAAAGAAAGACTACATCCAGCACTCGAGTGGGAGTGTACATTGTCAACTACAAGTAGTGTATTGCAAGATTCCTACTACACCTATTTGATTTTTTTTTTTTTTGGGTGCTTACATCTATTTGATTTTATAGCTACAAAATATTCTTATTTGAACACTTTTTTTATCGATTGATTTTCTAGTAATCCCACCTTATCAATTTTATAGAAGATGCAGATTTTTTGGGGGTTTATTGAGATTTAATCCGTCTTCAGGTTGATGAATTTCCTACACTTCTTTTTTTCCCAGCTGGGAATAGGAGTTCTGAGCCAGTAAGCTACAGATTTCAATTTCAATAAGTTTTCATTATTTTCATTTAGCTTAAAAGCAGATTAATTATGCAAATATTGCATACTACTACTTATATCTTTCGCTTTTACAGGTCACTGAAGACACCGATAGAACAGTAGTTGCGTTCTACAAATTAATTCCTGAGGGAACATGCATCAATCCCTTTCAAACTCCAGAAATCGACTGAAAACATTGAAGCAATCTGATTCAGCTGATGACCAAAAGATCAGCAATGGCATGAATATGAAGGATGAATTATAATGTTTTTACGTGAACTTTTGGACATTAATTGTCAGTACCATTTAGATGGACATTGTTCTCTTTTTCTATGAACAATTTCCTGTTCCTGTAAAACCTGTCTTCTCTTTTAAAAACAAAAATTTCAGGCTTTTATGATGATTGAGGAGTACAATTGTGACATTGCCCCGTAAAAGTACATCATATTCATAAGAACGAAAGTGGATGCCACAAAAAAAAAAAAAAAAAAACCAGTTAATTCATTCCGCTAGACAGAAAGAGCTTTTAGATTTGAGCATCAAATGATCCCTCATTGATGCTATCCAAAATGTAAACTTGAGCGATGCCAAACTAGAAAACTGCACGTATGTGGTTTAACTTGGGATTGGACCAGCCTATTTGTCTAGAATAATATAAAGTCATTCAACTTCTAGCAGTGTGAAACTTCTTGCTGGTATCCAATGCAAAAAGGACCGCCTTTGGATTTGTTCTTTAGCAATAAAGTTGAAAGACTTTCTATAATTTATTGGCAGCAGAATGTTAAATGCACTTAAAGGAGTTGTGTCGTGAAGTATAACCATCTTACTGAATAATTTAGGGATAAAAAAGTTCTCTTATGTTGAATAATTTAGGGATAAGAAAGTAGTCCATTAATTATGCATAATTATGTAAGTAATTTAGAAAATGATTTATAAACATTAAAAACGATGTCATAAATGAAAAATATTACTGAATTCTCTCTCAATTTCTTTTTTTTTTTTTTTGATCTCATACTCTACTTTTTTCTAATCTAATCTTTTCTCTTTTCATTTGGTATTTGAATAAGTTCATCACAAGTCAAGAACTAAGTAGCAAATAAGGTACAATTACGCACTATAGAGCCTTGAATTTATTCAAGATGTTAATTAATGATTGCTTTGAAAAAAACACATTTTTATTGTGTTTTGTTATTTAATTTTATTCATCAAATACATTTTTCTCAAGAAAAAACAATTGGGTATAAAAAATGTCACAATTTGGGATAAAAAAAAAAAAAAGAATTGCAGGTGTTTGGTTATGAATTTTTTACATATTAGATTTTATCTTTTAAAAATTATTATATAAATTAAAAAAATTATTAAATATATTAAAAATTGAGTTTTTTAACTTCAAAATTAAAATTATAACACATATTTTTTATATATTTAAAAAAATTAATTTAAAAAAAATGAGATATGTGTCATTATTTTTATTTTATTTATAAAATTAAAAAATTTCACTATCAATGTATTAAATAATTTTTTATAAATTAATTGAATTAAATTTTAAGTTTAAAAAAATTATTTAGTATACAAAATGATTGGACATATTATACCTTGAATGAAGGAGAAAAGCTAATGTTTTTAAAGAAATTAAAGACCATTGTTTTAATTTTACCCCTTCGTTCTTTCTTGAGTTAATTCAAATCGATGAACTTGACCATTGCCACCACTAAAAAAATAAAATAAAATTTTTAATATTACGTGTCCAAATATAGTCCGCTTATACCAGTAATTTAATAATATAAAAAGGGTCAAAATAGTCATTTCACTATTAAGCTATTTTCCTTTTGTAACTGTTTAAAATAAGTATCTAACGCTCCCTCAATTTTCTCGTTCAATCTCAACCAAAAGCACCGATTCTTTTGGTACGTCTTCTCTCATGTGATTTTTTTTCATATTTTCTATCTTTTTCTCATTTCCTATGGTTTTGATATTGTTTTTAACTTCAGATCACTACTTTCTGACGCAATAATTCTGTTGTATAAGAATAAGATCCTTATTCAATTCGATATAAATCTTAGAGCTCTATTTTCTTCAATTTGATCTGGCAATTCTGTTAATAGGCAGTTGGATTCACCTAAATTTTTAATTTTGAGTGAAAAAACTTTGATGGGTACTTTTTTTTTTCTTGTTTTTCGTGGACCTAGATTTGATGGGTTAGTTATTAAACCAGTTTGCTTAAAAACTGGAATTTCATGTCTTTTCTATGATCTTGTTCATTTTAGTTATATTTTGCATATGAGCTAATATGAAATGGGTTTTTGAGATTTTGGAAGGAGATTGCAGATACCGAATTAAAAGAGTTGACTTTTTTTGTTGGTGGCATTGTTTTAAATTAATTTGTGATCAGATAATGTTAGTCATAAAGCCGGAGTTCTTACAAATCAAACTTTGACAAAAACTCTTTTGAAACAAAGACTCTACAACTTTAAAATTTGAAAAAGATACCTGGAAGTTTTAAAGATCATGCCCTGACCAACTTAAATTGAAGTACTTGTCCTTGGTTTATGCCTTTAAGGGTGGAAAATGTATCATATGGCTGCCTTGCATAGAAATTTTATCATCGGTAGGCATGAAATAAAGTTCCTTGTATTCTGAGAAGTGTCCTTGAATTTTAATTTTTCTATGGATCTAAAAATGCCAATTGAAGTTGAGCAAACCTTTAGTTATTCGATTGAATTTTCCATGTCATTAAGTTGAAGTGGCCCTTGGTGACGTTGGATGTTATCTATTTTGGAAAATGTCAGCACCTTCTCTTGGTTGCTGCAGCATAATACATAGAGAATAAATATTCGTTATGAACTTTATGAAGTTACTGAACACACACACAGCTGTTATTTGGTGTGCTTCCATGCAGACAACGAAATGCTTTAGTGGCCATTGAAACCATATTTCAAGATGACGATCCTTACCCACACTTTTGTATTGGAGGATGTGTTTTGCTACTCTTATTCTTATGATATTGACCTTGGATTATTTTTATCTCGATGACTAACTTCCAACTTTGATGACCTCAAATTTGCTACTTTTTGATGTTATCAATCTTTTCTCATATGTTAATGTAATAAAATTGACATATTGAATGCCTGTTAATCTTATTTATAGTAAATATATTGTGTGTTAATTTCTCTGCCAAACTATACTTGATATTATCATGCCATGATTCACTGCTATTGAACTGAAGTTTTTAACCAATGGATTTTGTTCTTTCTATTGTGTGACTGGTTTTTATAGCAATCAATACAATTACTAAAGTAGTATTTTTATCCAAAAAAAAAAATGAATTCTTAATTTCAGAGCAACCGTAACAAAATTCAGCAAGTATGGAAGCCAACAGGGGCCAGAATGGTATTCAACAGCTACTCGCTGCAGAACAAGAAGCTCAGTACATTGTCAATACTGCAAGAAACAGTAAGCACTCATCTCATTTTCTATATTTCTCCTACCTCGGCTTGTAAAAATTTATGCAGTTTTCTTATGGTGTTGCACTGATGCGATCTTAGATCGAGAATAATGAGATGATGGTTCCTATGTTGATTCTATTTATTTGTTTAGGGCTATATTTGAGAATTATAAAACATATTTTGCACACTTGATCTCACTTCATAAAGACATTTGGTTAAACAATGTAATTGCTTAAACACACACACAAATGCAGACATTTTGGAAGTTATATGATAACTTTTTTGCCATTAGCATAATTTGGAAACTTATCCTGGATTAAATTGGTTGCAATACATTCCACAACATGCAGCCTTTCTTCTGGGTCTTTTAGCACTGAATCAGATCTCTCCCCTTCCTTCGTATCAAAATATCAGAACATAATGCTTTGCTATATGGTTGTTGCTGCTGGCATTTCATGTATGCTAAGATATGAACTAAACATAGAAGCGAAGTTGATTTGGCTTTCTTGGTTGCTGTTGTTGTAGCTTTTTTGGAGGTCTTGATGTTGACTCACTTCTGTTTCTTTTTCCAGCAAAAATGGCTAGACTAAAACTGGCCAAGGAAGAGGCAGAGAAAGAGATTGCTGAATATCGTGCTCAAGTAGAGTATGAGTTTCAGAAGAAGGTAGCAGAGGTATGAATTAGTGAATTTAAAAATAAATAAATAATTTGATCTATATCTGTTCAAATGAAGGCAATGTGCTGAATATTTTAGGTATGAGCCACCAACCCTTTTTTGTCTTCCATCACAATTGTAATTATAAAATTACAAATAATTGAATCTTTTATTGAACATGTCTGTTGCTTAGATATCTCATGGTTCTTAATTAATGACTGCGTTAATTATAAGTTCTGTAAATCTTCTGGAAGTTATGTGTTTCGTTTAAATTAAGATTATTATCAGTCAGATGCTTTATTTTTTTGTGTTGGAGTGTTATCTCAGTTATTATTTCGCTTATTTGCATGTTTCTTTGGTTTCTTTTGTGATTGAACTCTAGGTGATAAAATTGCTTTGAGATCCAATTATCCTTGAGTCCAATATGAACTAATGCATGTTCTAGGATTATCATACAGAGTAGCGGAGACTCTGGGGCTAATGTGAAGCGGCTTGAGCTGGAAACAGATGCAAAGATCAATCACTTGAAGAATGAAGCTGCAACGATATCGCACGATGTTGTACAGATGCTTTTGAAGCATGTGACATCTGTGAGGAACTAGGATCTTCCTTGAGGTTGATGATTTAATTGTCTACAACCTACAATGCCTGTATTTTTACATGAAAACTCTGAGCTCATGCTTGGAAACAATTCAATGCTATTATATTATTTGTCGTATTTTATTTATGACATGTATTGGTTGATCATGTTCCTGTTGCGAAATAAAGTTCAATGTGAGCACCATGTTTATCCATGAATGAAAAACAATTATTGCATAATGATACAGACAGTTGGACTAGGAGACATGTTTATCCTTTTCAGAATTGCAACGCTAAGAAATCCTGTAGGATTTGCTCCACCACCAAACCACAGGCAAAAAGTCCTACTCCAAAAAGTGCAGGCCTAGCTCTTGTTAATACTTTCTGATCAGAATCCTCACCTTCTCTGTTTTGCATCGCCCAAGCCATTGCTGGTGGGAGAACTCCATACAGCATTGTCATGCAGTATCCTCCCTGCATCAATGTTCCAGCAACTGATCATCAAAGTAAGTTGTGAAGCTTACGTCTGATTTTTTATACATGTTTTGTAGTGTCAGAGATTCTGCATCTTAACACCTTTGAAACGAGGAAAAAAAAAAAACGTCTTCCAAGTATGGGTTCAGCTGTGTTTTCTATTCATTCTTTGCTCCCCAACAACAACCCGTTCAACTTACAGCAATATCTGTAGCAGTGGAGAATGCATCTGGAACTGTTGTTTAGACTAAAAGAGTTGGAATGACAACCATTCCCATTGCTGTGAAGCTGGTTTTATTTCTTCCCCACCAGTTTGTCAGCCCTGAGGGTTTGTCTGCTTCCTGCTGTAGATCAGCCGCTGTCGAAGGCGTTATCTGCATAGCTTTAACAATATTACGGTGAGATGAATGAAATGTGTTACAGAATATTTCTAAACTAAGAGAAGTTTATTTCTTTGAATTCCCTTGCTTGCACAATTCTCAGTTTAAATAAGAGAGAGAGGAGTACGAGTGGATGGGGGAGTTTATAATAGCAACTAGCATTTCAAGGCGATAATTTTAAATACGATACAGTAATATAATACAAAAAAATTAAAATTTTAACAAAAATTGAATTTGGTAAAAAAATTAAAAAAGAGTAGTGTTTGCTGTGATACAAGTTGTGATATGATAATTTTCATATTTTACATTCTTTAAACATGAAATAGATAGATACTGATACACTGTCCGGGCTACCTGCATTGAAGAAGAATGCCATGAGAGGTTCTTAAGTTGCTCCTTAAAGAACTCTGAGAAGCCGAGTAGAGTGCCAATCATTGATGTTCCTACTGCCAGAAGTGAAAATGCTTCTACCATAAACGAAACTCCACTCCATTTTACCGTGAAGCAAGGGGAAAAACATTAAATTCGGAGTCCCAACTGATCAAAAGTCTTCTAACTTGATGAATCATGATCCCCAAGAATCCTTTGCGAATTCCACCTACGAAAGTCTACCGTCTATGCTCAATTTTTAGGCTCTTGGTTCATAATCCAGGCATTGGTTTCAATTCCATTTTTATTTCCCAGATGCATTGCTCGAACTTGGAAGTGAGTGTCAGACATGGATATTTGTCCGTCCTGGATACTTTAGGATGTTACATTTATGCCCAACACAGAGTTACATTTATGTCCAACACAGAGTACGTTCGGTTTCAAAATTTTTCTTTTGTATTTGGAGGGTTAGGATGTCACATTCTGTCCAGTTTGAGGTGTCACATATGTAACTAATACCCCAAAAATAACCTCAATGAATATTAGATCTTTCAATTGCAGTACTATCACTTAATTTTCTTCTACTGAGATAATTTTTTTTTTTGTACAAAGGAGGCTGAAACCTGGGATTCTATGTGCCTAGACAATTTTGGAATGTAACTTGTGGAATCCGGATATTTGAATTACCTCATAAGCAGTTCAATAGGATCAACATTTTGGTCTGCTTGTGCTGACAGGCCAAGTGCAATAGCATCCCAAACAAGCAATGCCAAGAATGGAACAAGGCTACCAATCAAAACTGATGCCCTTAATCGGGTAAGGTCACTGCCTAAATAAGCACAAAGAACTGCAAGAAAAGTAATAAAATTATAAACCAAGAGACATTGTTACCATGCTTGGAAAATCTGAAGCTTCATCTTAAAAGAACAGTCTTGTTTTACCGGGTGTGATATCATGATATACCAGAGAAAATATCATCAAAGGAATAGTAGCTGGAACTTTCCCCCAATCGCCATGTCCTTCCAGCCCTGACCATCCTCCAAACACAACTGCTAGCACTTCAATTGCCATTAATAAACCTGTGCATCATTTCCTTCACATTTTCAACATTCATAATCATATGTTGCTAAAGAGGGCATTTGCGACAGCCATGTGATTCGTTGATAGATTATTGAACTCTTAGTTCGAGTTACCATGACTCAATTACCTCCCAAGAAAAAGAAGGCATTCAATCAAAGGAAACCACCTAAGGTTAATCAAGATGATAAAATATAGGATCACTAAATATAGTTTCCAAGCAATCCAACAATCTAAAAGTTTATCCAAATCCTACCTATCATGGAAATAGTGAGCCATTGGTTCACTTGATCAGTGGCTTGGGTTCCACCAACAGAGATGAGAATTGTGAATATTCCGGTGAACAGGAAGCCAGAAACTGATTCAGGAAGATTGATCAAATGGAAAAGGATCTCCCCAGACTTTGAGCTATAGGCAATCATTGAAGTGTACCCCAAGAAAACATAGGTAACTGTGGCCAAAGTTCCACCCCAATCTCCTAGTGTATCTTGTGCCATTGTCCTTATGGAAACAACCTCTAATTCACTCTCTTCTTCCTTCTTCCTCTTCTTTCTTCTCAATTGAACATTTATTTCAATGAGCAAAAGTGCTTCAATAAGCAGAAATGCCCAGCAAATTATCAAGGATATTGAACTTGGAAGCACACCCTGCAATGTAAAAGGAAGTTGAACATTACTTATCTCTATAACCAAAATGATAAAACTACTACCCCAAGCTTAACTCAACCAATTCATGCAATTACTGTTAAAAAGTGACATTCAGCAAGTCCAGGTTCAAATTTCAACACTGCAACCCTTTCTTCATTCTCAGGCTACGACCTCTTTTATAGAAAAAATTGGTAAAACTACTCCCAAAACCCTAAAAACCTCCACTTCTATTTAAAAATATGCATATTGAAAACACACGTGCATAAACACACAGGAAAAAGAGAAAGCATTTTACAGCAGGAGAGGCTTTCTGTGGGAGTGCAAGTATCCCAGATCCAATACTAGTACCAATAATAAGAGCAACTGCCCCAGCTATAGTTCCTTTTTTTCCAGCTCTCTTGACAGGCTCCTCTTTGACTTGTATGAAACTTTCTCCCTCCTTTGACACATAAATTTTTTGAGTCCTCCATGGATTTCCCTTCTTCCGCTGCCATTGGCAACCACAAGGATACCTGTTGCTGCTGGAACCAACCAAAAAAAAAATGATAAAGAAACTGATCATATAGAAAATATTGAAATGAAGGTAATATTATATTTGTATATGCTGAGTGAAAAAAAGAAGAAAGTTCACACCATACATTCTGAATTTGAGGCAAATACTATTCTGCCTTTGGAGAATTATTGCCGACTTTGGGATTGTTGTTGCATTTTTTATGCGAGTTTTGGGTGTCAAGGAGAAAGATGAAGGCATGCACTTGGTATTCATGGTAAAAAGAAGAGTGAAAACTGTGGAAATGAATGCATTGTAGATGCAAGAGTCCCAAATATCTTGGAAGTGGACCACATTAGATTTTTACAAAATTTGTTTAGCCACAAGAAATTGGCTGCTACTTGGGACCATGTAAGATTTTTTTTTCCATTCCTGCAGGTGTTCAATGTTGAGAATTGGAATGCTCAATGGTGCCCCTTTGGGACTTTGAATCATGTTCTTGGAAACCATCACCTCTCAATTTATCTGTTTTAAATCATGATACTTGATCCAAACTTTTTGTTGCACTTGATTTACCTTTGTAATTTCATATTAACATATAATCTATTAAATTGTTACGATTTGCCTTTGTAATTTCATATTAACATTAATCTATTAAATTGTTACTCAACATATATAATATAGTATTTATAATTAAAAAATTAGATGAAAGTACAATGAAACTTGAATTTAAAATTTAAAATATATCACAAATTTTTTCCATTAAAATAAAACCCTTCACGAACATCAGGCAATAAACAAATGTCTATTTAAGTAATTCAAATTACGCCTAATTAAGTTTTTTATTATTTTTTTAATGTTCCTTCTCTCAGATACCAAATTGAAAAGCTAAGGACCTATATGGGTTTTACCATCAAAGAGCCAACTTAGAGAGAAATGGGTCTTTTGTCCATCTAGCATGGTAGCCAAACTAAGCTCATGCCTTGGCCCATGGTAACTCTAATAAGAGGACCTGGGTACAAGTATGGACCTAGAAATTTTAAATGAAAAACGGGCCAAAGCGTAATATTCTTATAAAAGTCTTGGGGGGTTGGGCGCAGAAAACACTTTGCTGATATCACATTACAGTTTCTTGCTTGGCAATTGGTATTTGCCTAACTCAGATGGTTTCTACATTTTTTTAGTGTCGAGGTCTTAGGCTTCATATAGTACATTTTTTTTGTTTAAATAAATTTATTTATATCAAATCTAATGAATTCATGAGAAATTTAATTTTTTTTCACAATTTACAATTTTCGGATGAACAAAGAGATGAACAAATTTTTTAACTTGAACCACTGTACATTGATTATTGAGTTAAAAATAAATTTAATAATTTAAAATATAATATTATAATACGATATAAATATGATATTAAAAAATATTAAATTAATATAATTTAAAATTTTAATAATAATTTATATGAATTTAATAAAATAAAAATTATTTTATATTTTTATATTAATATAATTATATCATATAATTTTTATATAAAATATTATATAAATAAATATATATTTTAATATTTTAAATAATATAAATATAAGAATAATCAGATTTAGCTAAAGAATCTATATGATCTAAATTCAGAAATTAAAATTTTTCGAAAGGACAAAAAAATTATAGTTGATATTGGAATATCATTGTCCTTTAGCCAACAAATTGTCAAAG